TAACTAGGCAGTGTTCTTCACTGAGGTTAAAATCGGCATGAATGCTACAGAAAGAAGGACTGGGCTTTTTTGTCCTGTATTGCAACAGGAACTACTGCATGGAAGTGCAGAATTTTTGTTGTACTCAGTTGCTGAACCTGGCAAGAGTACAGTATGTTGCTAGGACAATTTGCTTTGGCAAGGGATGACAAAAACTGAGATTATCATGCAAATGAACACAGCCTGTAGGCCTTAAGTAGGCGTTTATGCTCCAGATCAAGGTCAGAGCAGTAGTGAAGGATCTTTTCCTTCCACTGAAGGGCCAGCAGCTTTTTCTACTGGTGTCTAACTCTTTGTCACGTGCGCGTTCTTCTTTCTCTTCCAGTCAGCTGTTGGGTTTGAATATCAGGGGAAAACGGAGAAGCATGCCTCTCAAAAAGGTGAGGTAATCACATATGTAGATGCATGTTTTTTATAAATGTTAGAATAGGTCTCTGTTCTTACAGTGTTTATAAAGGACCTAGCACAGTGAGGCTTCAATCCAATTTTGTCTGTGAATCATTTGTTGAGGGACTTGGGTAGAAGAAAAGCTGGAAGAATGAATTTCAAGGCAGTTTCCTGAGTTGATGAGGTTTTAATAAAAGGAAACGGCTTGTCATTGAGACTAACTTTTCTTGTAAAAGTGAGATTTAAGGACGTTTTAGAAGGACGGAGAGTTGTTCTTTGCTGCGTTGCACCCTATTGATTTAGGAGGAAACATGGTGAGCTATAGGACTGTCACCCATCTTATTTTCCGTGTTTAAAATTAGACTTAATTTTATGTGCTCAAGATTAGTATTTCAGTTCTGAAATAACAGGATATGATACATGTGTTAAAAGCTTTTTCATTTCATTTTTATTGTTCTTTACTCTCAACGCAGACTACTCAAGTGGTTTTGGTGGAAAATATGGAGTACAGGCTGACAGGGTGGACAAGAGTGCAGTGGGATTTGATTACCAGGGTAAAACTGAGAAACATGAGTCACAGAAGGGTGAGTGGACATACATTGTGATGGGTTTCTGTTCTGATCTGGTAGGCGTTCATGACAGGCAGTGTTGTAAAATGCGCAGTTTTTTAGGCTGTTGCACTCCTAAACCTGCTGAAAACCAATGCTGAATAAAATTTATGTTGCTGAAAACTTTTACTTCTGAAAAAGAAACCTAAAACATAGGTTCTAACCAATTCTAAGGGATGATCAAGTTGCTCTTACCTTGGAAGCAGGGCATACAGGTTTGTCTGGAGTTTTTTGTGAGTTTTTTTGAGAAGTTGTAGTTTGGAATACTGAGATGCCAACAGAGCATTGTTTCTAAGAGAATCAACTGCCAGTAGAATAAAGCATTTATCCGTTAGTAGTATTTAGAGTTAATACTGTGCTGCTAATCAGGTTTCCAGGCCTATCTGGTCAGAATTTGAGCGCTTTATTGAAAAACTTTGACATTTTTGCCATCTGTTTTCTTTTTATCTCAAAGAAATATTTGCGCTCTAGAAATGTTAGGGAGAAGAGGGGGCTGTTTGCTTAAAAGCGTCCAGGCTATTGCTGACACAGCTTTTGAAGTTCACTTTACTATTAGTATCTTAGGAATGTTATCAAGGAATGAAGTTACAGAACTGCTGATACCACCCGGTAGTTGAACTACGTATGATGCCATTTTACTTTCCATCCTAAGAGGGTATAATCTAAAGAATTTATGACTTCGGTATGAGGGACCAAGATTAACGAAGGATGTCAGTGCTTCTTGTAATACGTAATTTAATGTTAGCAGAGAATGGTTAACACAGTTTTCCAGGATAATATTTTGTTGTTGAACAGTTATAAACAAAAATCTTTACTCTTATCTCTAGATTATTCCAAGGGCTTTGGTGGGAAATATGGTGTTGACAAGGACAAAGTGGACAAAAGTGCTGTCGGCTTTGAATATCAAGGCAAAACGGAAAAACATGAATCACAGAAAGGTTTTTATTATCTTATTTAAGAGTACTGGTTCAAATCAATCACCCTTTCAAACCTGGAAAAACATACTTTGTTTTCTTAAATGTGTGTTTGCCCTTTGTTTCCCTTCGATTTTTGTTTCCCTTAAATGAAAAGGAAGGCATTGTAAGCTGTCCCTGACTTTCACAATCTGATTTCCAAGGGACCTTATGTCCCTACAGAAGCAAATGTATAACCGCACAGATCTGTGGTCTTCAGAGACAGTATCAAGACCTTTATTATTTATATATCTGCATTGTGCATATATGTAGATATGCACATATTGTAAGATTTGGCTTTAGACAGAAAATGCATCAGATTCTTCAGGTATCTGAATGTTTTTTGAGTCTGTATGCTGTAATCTACACTGGATTTGAGGTATTTTCCTGCATTGTGATCCTAAAGTTACTGGATGGATGTCCTTCCATTTGCTGAGGTAGTTTAGCAGGGGCATAAAGACTGAAACATATTATTATTAATGGCAGGGCGGCTTATCCAATAACAGATCTGCCATGTTGCTGCTTTTTTCCTAAATACTGTTTACAATCATAAATTACAGTAATGTTTTGTGGAATTTTATGCACGCAGATTATGTGAAAGGATTTGGAGGCAAGTTCGGTGTGCAAACAGACAGACAAGATAAATGTGCGCTCGGCTGGGATCACCAGGAGAAAGTGCAGCTACATGAATCCCAGAAAGGTATTTTAGTTAGAGATTCTTGGCCATTCTATTTAACTTTGGTTGTTTAGACTCTTCTTTTCCTTGTGTGAACCCTCATTCCCCCTTGTATCTTTGGCTACACTCTTACAATGGCTAACATGTATTTCCTTTTTCTTTGTTTGAACTATTACCGTGCATTGGTTGTACCGATGTCTTCAGAGCAGTTTTGACAAATCTGATATTGAATCACTGAAAGTTCTGACTTTTAGTGATAACTGGAGAAGCCTTAAGAGTCTGCGGGTAGCCCTGATTATTTTGTTCTTTTTCAGTTGATTTGTGCAAATCGCAAATTACCAACATTTTTGTAAAACTTTCCGTGAGGATGTTTCCAAATAATCTTCCTTTTGGAGTTTCAATCATGTATAACCCTGTTTCCATGCAGGGGAAATCTAATGTTTAATGCTTGGGGCTGTTCTTTCCCACCACCTATGTGATACCTATTCCCATGAAAGATTGGCAAGCAGAAGATAAGGTTCAAAACAACCATTTTCTTCCTGCCCCCACGTATCCCCACTTTTTTAATTTAAAGAAATTAATCTAAAGCAATTAAAATTGATTCTCAGAATATTTTTCTGTTGGATGTTCCAGTAGGTTTTATTGTGAGAGATTACCTGAAGCCCCGTTTTTGGTGCCCTCATTTTATACTATAGGTGAAAAGGGCTGTTCTAAAGCAGCAGTATTGAATAGTTGTAGCTTTTAACAAAGAGCTTTTTGTGTAGCAGAATAGCAGCAGGAATATTCCTTGTTCTTTTCAACCATGCTGTATAGGAATATCTGAAGGCTAGTGTCTGTGGACCCTATCTAAACACTTCTTAAGAATTCAGACCCGTATTGTACAAGTATTTAACGTGCTGATGAAGGAAGCTCATTTCACTCGTAATTGCTGATCCTCTTGTATCCTGTTTTGTTTTGGTAAATATTTTTAATGTACGTTTGTGTTCATAATGTTGATAAAATGCAAGTGCAGTATGTATGAAAAATGTTGAGAAGTGGTGTTTTTCTGAGACTTCAGAATGATCTTCCTATTTTTGATACATTGTGTTGACCTCTTCCTAATCTTAAGTGGCAAGTTCTTCTGAATTTACGTTTACAAAAGTGTATTGAAATTTCTTTCACCATCAAGAATTATTGGTAATTCAGAAATGTTGCAAACATTACTTTGAGTGTCTCTGACTAAACTTCTTTATTTTCCTCCCTTCATTTTATTTTATTATATGTGGCTTTTTCAGACTATAAGAGTGGTTTCGGAGGGAAATTTGGTGTACAGAGAGAAAGGCAGGACCAATCTGCTGTGGGGTTTGAATACAAGGAGAAACTAGCCAAGCATGAATCTCAACAAGGCACCGTTTTCACTTGTTTCTTTCTTAACAGTGCAGCCACTTCTCACACAGTCTTAAATAGTTGTCTAAGTAGATTGGTGCTAGTAATGTGCAGACACTTTCTTGCGCTTCTATTCCTACATGATCTAGCAGTGTTCTTCCATTTTATTTTTAAAATCAGTTGCATAAAGGAAGGCTGTATGCAGGAAACAGATATCCAATGTTTAGTTAACAGCTCTACAGCATTATGCATTTAGTTAATAGCTATACCTACAACGCATTACCAGTTTTAAAGTCTTATTGTGAAACTTTGCCTGGATAAACTAGTGGAAAAATATTCAAATAAGGACCATGTGTGTAACCACTAACAAGCAGTAGATTATAGCACGGTCATTTTAAAGCAATTATAGTCTTTAAAACAAGAAACAGGGAATGTTTGTGGTTCTTGGGTGAGCAAATGCTGTTATAATGCTCTCTTTATTCATTGTGAAATAGTTGGGGTACAAACCATGAATTCCTGGTTTTCCGTTATCTTAAAGTGAGAAGTCTGGATCAGGAAAATGTAAGTGTAGTATATTTATTCTGGCTGAAAATACATACAAAGCTGAAGAAAATGAGGTTGTTCATTCTGATAGTTAATATTTTTTTATGCAATAGGGAAACAAATTCAAACTTTCAGAGTGGCACGTGTGCCTTAGCAAAGCCCAGGTGCAAACACTAAAATAGCTGACTAGTTGACCCAAGTGATTTTGGGGCTGAGAGAAAAAGGATTGATTGTAATTGTGTTCCAGGGACAAGTACGAAAGCCTTTCCCTCTACAAAGTCTAAGCTTGTGTTCCTACAGACAGTTCAGCAGCTCGCTGCCACCAGAAAGAGGTGTTTTTCCAGCCACACACTCTTGCTCTCTCCATTGCTTTGGCTCTGGTGCTTGTCAGAAATTTCTCCGAGTAGATTTCCAACTCACTAGAAACAGCAGAAAGCTGATCTTCTTAGGGCATCTTATGTCACTAGTGAATTAAACTGGTTCTGGAGCCTACCAAGTGTTAGAGTCAGCGTTAGGTGAGAGTAAGAGTGTGCAGCCAAGAGATGGTACAGAAAGGCAGGGCCATCCCATTTCTGTGGTGGTGAGTTGTTGCAAGATCATGCTGTCTTGAGGAACTGGCCCTTTTAGTTTGCAGAGCAGGAGTTACTAATCAGCTGGGTATCATGATGAAATCCCTTGGAATGGGAAATGTGTTATATTTCCTGCCATTCATAGAATGTATCAAGCTAAGGAGAAAAGACACCTGTGATCACCGAAGGCTGGATATCACTGCTTTGAGCAAAGCAAAGTGGCTTAGGTTACATGACTACTACAGAGGGCTAAGATTTGGTGCTGTGAAAGGCTGTGTTACAGAAGTGATGCATTAGAAGGGCTCATCTCCTACTCTTTGCTTGAAACCTCGTCAGTCCTCAGCTTAATGTTTATTCAAAGAATGCATGTGGCCTACAATCCCTCTCATCTGCTGGTGTACCTGAAGGCTCTTGCAGTTATGTATCCTTTCTGCCTCAAAAAACAAGTTGCATTTCCTTTGGTGGCTGTCACTGTGTCTTTGCATGCAGCTGAAATGGCTATTTGCATTTGAAATGGCTGTTTACATTTGGCAGAAAGGTGGACAGCAAACTCTCCATTATAACTACTTTATCCTGCTTTTAGATTACTCAAAAGGATTTGGTGGGAAGTATGGTGTACAGAAAGATCGGATGGATAAGGTAAGTAGCTTAAAAGAGCCATGACTTCAGTAGCCTGTAGGGATACAAAATAGCATGGTTAGATTTATAGTATTCATCTCTATTTCTGGATACTTCTCCAGTCTAACAATAAAGTCCTTCTGTGCTTCCCTAAATCTTTTCACAAAAGCAAGGGTGTATGATAGCAGTTTATATACAAATGTATGTATGTGTGCTATGTATGCATAGTTTGGAAAGCTGAAGCATCAGACTGAAAGAACAGCAAAAATTACGCAAAAGAATAAGAAAATCCCTGAATTCCAGGATGTCAGTCATGTCTTTTAACAACCAGCTAGTGCCTTATCTTATACGTTGAGGCCATCGTCTGAGTGGGCTGCTTAAAATAGGTGCCTATTGTCTTCCAGCTTTGCCTACTTTAATTATAAGGAACCTTCTCTTTAAGAGAATTTATTTTACCATCCTACAACAGTAAAAGACAGGACAGCTGGATACTCCCTTTCTACCTCTCCATTTTTTAACTTAAAAAGCTAGAAGATGAAAAGGTGGAAATTTATTTACTGATTATCCCTCTCAGCTCTGTGTAAGTCATTTACAAGTGAGAAATTAGAAGAGTCAGAAAGTGTGTAGCATTCTTTTTTTTTTTTTTGTGGCTTCAAGAGTCAAAGACCCGTCATGTTTAAAAAAAAAAAAATCTTATTTTGAATACTGTCCTCAAAATACTCCCTTCTGTTTTAACAATCTGTTTATTTAAGAGATCTGGATGCTTTTACCTTGGTAGAAATCCTGCACCACATGGATTAGAAACGAACAGCTACACAATAAATGTTTAGGAGGTTGCCCCATTTTCAGTTCTCATGAGTCATCTATTCATAAACTACATCTTTTTTCAATTAATAGGAGTTTAATGTGTTTAATTCTGTCCACGAAGATTAACTCTAAATAGTTCGACTTACAGAATGAATTACTCCTTTAATTTTGATTATTCGTGATTTTGTTCTGGTGTTGTGAAAAAAGCCATGGGGTGGTATCACAGTAAAATAAGTCACAGATTGATGTTGTCTGAATGTCTTCATGAATCGGTGATGAAAGAGATTGGGGATTTTTTGGTTTTCTTACTGACAGAATGCAGCAACTTTTGAAGATATTGAGAAACCAACACCAGCTTACCAGAAGACCAAGCCAATAGAAGCCGGTAAGCCATTGTCCCAAAATCATTCCTCTGGAGGTGATGTTATGCAAAAGCCCAAGGTATGACTGTTGATGTAAGAGTGAGAAATAAGGATCATCTAAAGGGAGCCTCCGTATTTGCAGGTTCTAGCAACCTCTACTCCTCTTTCCTTCCTCCCTTTAGAGATTTTTTTGCTTGTTTGTTCCCCCACCGCGAGGAACACGTGAGTTGAGGAGGGAAGAGTAAAGAGCAGGAGGTACTGGGGAATAGACTGAATGAGGGAGTAGAGTGGTAAAGACTAAACCATGAAAGAAAGGAAGGAGGAGTGAGGAGCGCTGCAGAGGCTTTTCAGTAAAAGAGGAATGTGGCTCACAAGAAGTTTGGGGTCAGCGCAGCAGGGGTGAGGGAGGAGGAGGGATAGAAGGAATTTCCTGAATGTGCTGTGAGCTCAGACAGCAGAAATTGCAGAAATGTGTTCCATCCTAGTGGGAATGTATACCATAAACTAATTCCAGGCTGCCATTATGCACAACCTTAAACAAAAACACTTGACTTTTTTTTAACGTTACAGTGACTAATAAAACAAGCAGCATCCGAGCTAACTTTGAAAACCTAGCCAAGGAAAAGGAGCAGGAAGACCGAAGGAAGGCAGAAGCTGAAAGAGCACAAAGAATGGCTAGGGAGAGACAAGAACAGGAGGAGGCTCGAAGGAAACTAGAGGTCAGTAAGAGTCAAAGACTGCACAAGTGGGATATCTGGTGTGTTTCAGTGTAATGTTGGGAGAAAAAGAGTATCTTTTCTGAAAGGCTACTTTCTTTCTTTCCAGCTAGTGTCTGTGGGTGTGTTTGTGTGTGTTGGTACCTGTGCTTTATCTGCTTGCAAAGCCAACCTTCTCTCAACAGGCACCATATGCATTCAGACATCAGATAGTGGTGACAGACTAACACGTAATAGTTTATGATTTTTGAATTTATCCTGTTCCAAAATAAGTATGCTAATCCTGAGTGCTAATCTAGGCCGTCTGACCTTGTCCTACTTTAGCCTTGTTGTACTTCTTCCTTTTGGTAATATCAAATTCCCTTGGGCATGAAGGAATTCATAAGGTGAGAGACATGTGGTCCCCTAAAGGCTCCATGCAAATGTTTGTCCAAGGAGTTTAATAATACGGTGATAGTTGATGATGCTGTTTTCTTTGGAATCAATATTGTGGATGATGGAGGTGGTATCACCCACTGATATAGCACAACCCGTGAGATGAAGGGAAATAGTCTTCCAGAGATTAATGCAATCCTAGTTCGGAAATTAAGAAATTTGACATTTAGCATTGTCGTGCTTAAAAGCTGTATGGTTTCTTGTTATTCATGAGCAGAATTATGTCAGAAACTGCATCCTACATGCTTTGTAGAATTTGTGTTTTTGGTGAAACTCTACTGCTGAGATGGAATGATCAATATCTTAATAGTAACTTGTCCTTCACGTCCGGTTCATTCACTTTGTTGCACAGTGCCTGAGGTACCTTATTGCTTTAGCATCAGTCATACTAAGGACCTGCTATTTGCAGGCCCGTAACATTTCACCCAAGCTGCTTTTCCAGAGCCTGTATGGCAGTTTTCCCTGTGGTCTCATGCTGTTATTCTGGTCTCATGGCTTTACCCTTGCAAACCCTGATATTGCTCTGACAGGTTCTCCTGCGAAGTGACTGCCACTGGTGTGAGAATTGACCCTTTTCCCCTCCCTCCTTCACCCTTTGTTTTGCAGATACTGTTTTATACTAGAGAAGACCACACGTAGCGCACAGTAACAGATAATAGTCCTTAACATGCTTGATAAATACTATCCAGTAATCCATGCACAGGGACTTAGGAGCCAACCAGTACGCAACACTGATGTCTAGTTAGCATGCTCCCACCAGTGCGAATGGTGTCACAAGCAGGGACAGCCAGTAGGGAGTTTGAGCAGATCCCGATGAAAAGTATGTAGTACTCTGGGAGAAGCAGGTCAAAAACTGTCATTGTCATCACCTTCATTGTTGCCACCTGCTACACTGGAGAGAGTCCCCAGAGTGGCATGCTTGTCTGGGACCTAAGTCACTGCTCTTCCTGGCTGACTACTTAGGAGTTTTCCCATTTCCCGCTGTGTCTCTGTCTCTCTCCTCTTTTGTTTTTATTTTTCCCCAAAAGTAACTTTCATCATTAGGGTCAGTGTATGCTGTCAGCTGTGGACTCTGCTAATAAATCTTGCGCGTAAACTTGTCTCAACATCCTCTCTGCAACAGCTTGAATCCAGGAAAGACTGTTAGCTGGTTTCTCAGATTCGTTCAGTCCTTTTCCTAACACAACTGGTTTCTCAGGTATGGCGGCTACTTACCTTATGTAGACTGCTGCTGCTATGGGATGCCTGAGCGTGCTCCTCTTTTGCCTTTTGGTTTCAAGATGCACAGTGTGAGCATATGTTCACCACGTACACACGTCATAAGATGAATGGGAATTCATCTTTGTGTACCACTGAATTCTAATTCTACCTTTCATCCATGTGTACCCTGTGGATCTTTCAAACCTTCCTCCAACCACCATTCAGGTTTCTTTACTGTCCTGGAGAAAAACATGTTAGTCCATTAACGTGACATCTCCCACTTTCTTAAACATGGGACAGGAAGAGATAGGGAGCTGAAGTTCAGAGTTCAGTCTTTTCTGTTTGATAAGATCAGTAAGCCTGCTCCAGGCTGCCACTCTGAGCTTGGGCTGCTCAGTGTCATTCTCAGCATTGGCACTAGCCTCTGGCGCTAAGCTAGCAGGAGGGCAGTTAAACTTTGCCTAAGGAGATCCACTTGGTTCCCCTCAGAGCAGTAAAGCTGAGATGCATCCAGTCCGTACAGTTGCCCAGAGAACTCTTCAGATGAGTGAAGTTTATGCCTTGGCCCTTGCTCAAAGCCACAGCAAAGTGCTATCAGCGTGTATCACCACCTTCTTCTGGAGCAGCTGTTCAGCTGGTAGCCCCTCAGTTCCTCTAGCCATTGCTAGCTGTCCTCACTGCTGAACTATTACCCAACGTTCCCAGCATGTTGCCATGTGTTTAAGCTTATGCATCACCAATATCTAGGTCTAGCACCTGATTGGGTCCCTTACAAGCTGATTCTTCACTCCTCATCCTCCCCAGCCCTTGTCCTTGCCCCCAGCACTGCCACTCTAGGAGTGATGTAGTCCCTCAGCTCTGAGGTCAGTTCTGCTCTTTAAAGTACAGCTTCCCTCTTCCATCAAGAGATCTCCCTTTTCCTGACATTTCTGTTCCTGTATGCAGTTATTAAGTCTGGAGAGCATTATGACTTAACGACTTACAGAGTTGTTATTCATATAGTAGGAGGAATTATTTCAGTGGGTACTTTCAGAGTTTTTCAAATGACAAAGAACCATGATACAGTTTGATGGACGTCACAAGCGTTCTTTGTTAGTAAGGCAGTTCTGCAGCCAGGAGCACCTCTCAAGGTGACGCTTGCCGTAAGTGGTAGGTGTGGAGAGAACAGGACTCTCTGAAGTTTGCACGTGTCAGTCCTGCAGCTCTGCTAGGTGTGCTGTGTTATGCTCCTCAGTGAGAAGTGGGAAATCTACTCTAGTGGTCATGTGAGGATTTTTTACATGTTGCATAACTGACAGGAGTACTGATGTTTTTTTCTTGAGAGGTTTGCGTGCAGGCTTGGTCTTGGGTACAGTCCTGTTATTGGTCAAATGGACTGGTGCATGCGTTTATCCAAGTACCTCTGTTATCCAAGTACCTCTGTTGCCAGAAGTTTTGGTTAGGGCAAGGCGGAACAACGTCCTGTAGGTTCTCATTGTCTCTGTGGGCCTAAGCATTTTGGTATCAGGCCTTCTTTGTCTCTCAGTGACTTCTTCAGTTCTCTCTGTCTGACCTCTGTAATAATTTGTCTGTCTCATTCATCTCAGTCTCGAAATAATATAGGTCATGCTATGGATGCTGAATGACTCTCCATTAGAGTACTCTTCCTCCTCCCTAGTTGGAGCCAGTGAGGAGGATCTTGGCAAATTAGTTAAGGTTTCTGCTCGGGATTCCCGTTGGTCTATCTCCCCTTCCGTTTCATCAGTTCATGGTCTCGCCTGAGTGAGGGAAAAAATTCAGCTTCTTCCTTAGCTCTCTTGCCATTCATTTTGAATGGTCATATGCTCATAAATAAGATCTGTGGGGAGTGGTGCGTTTGGTTTTTGTCACCCCTTTCAACTTTTCCATTGAGGTTTCCTTCTGCTGAGAAATCAGTTTTCCAAAAGGGTTTAAATGTAGTAACACAGATTTTTGCGAGTCACTGAACTGTTGTCTTTTTTTCCCTTCTCTCTCTAAAATGACTTTCTTTACCATTATTTTTGCTGTAAGTGTGGGATAAATTCAAGCCCTTATGCTTGATTTTTCTTGTACTTCATCAAAGAATCCGTTGCCTGGACACATTTGAAGTTTTTTTCCAAAGCCGGTATTTAAATTTCACCCTAACCAGATGATCAATGCTTTTCCAGACTGAACATCTCCAAGGTTAATTGTATGATTCTCTGGACACTGAGGGAGGGAGGACGGGATTAAGGGGAAACTGAAGTGGCACTGGGTGTGCCCGTTACATACATCTTTCATGATCAATTTGTGAGCAAGTGCACCATCCACAGATACTGTAAAGGAGGTGGCGGGGGAACTGTGGCCGTAAGAGGACTTTATCTCTTTAAGAGAACTTCCGTGCACAGACAGAAGGATCTCTCACTTTAAGAAAGTACGTGGGCATATGTACTCCCACAATGGGAATGTACATATGGACTACATTCCTTCAAGAATCATGTTTACTGGTAATCCTTTTTCTTTTTTGCCTTTCACATATGTCACATAGTCAAATGGTGTTCAGGGAGCAGTTCTTTAACTGCTGTTTTGAATCAGCCAGTGCCTCATGATTTTTAGCTAGCCTCTGCTACCTTAGAGAACAATTCAAGATGCTGTTTCATGTGGAGCATTTTACTGTGGAAGAAACCCAGCTCTGATGTTGCCTGAGGGAGACCATGCGTTTTGAGTGTTTTATGACAATCATACCGTGGCTATCTTAAATGTTAAACTGTAGTCTGGATTGCAGAGACACATTTCACAGGACAAAGAATTCAAACTGTTTCAGCGTTTGAAATTGTTAACAGATTGATACCGATATCAATTTGTCTCCAACTCTAGATTTGAGTTCTAGTAAATGCTTTGCCAGTGCTTTTTTGTCTGTAGCACAACAGTTAAAAGTGGGAAGGGCTGTTGCATGAGGACAGATTTTCCAGAAAGCTCAATACCAAACTTTGAATTCGTCTTCAAAGATGGCTTTGTTCTCAAGACACTTTTTCTTTCGTTGCTTGATGTATTTGGTTCTGAGCTGTGACAAATAATGGAAAGGGAGAATTCTTTGTGATAGATTCCTATTGCTTTGTCTCTGGACTGTGATTTCTCCTGGGGATCCTTTGGGGAGTTGAGGCTTGATGCGCTTAAACAACTGCAGTGCGCAGTCTCCTACTCCTCACCATTTCCTCTTTTTTTTGTATCATAAAGAAGAAAGCTTGGCCATGGATCCACAGATTTCTTCCTCGCTGAGAGAGGCAAAATTAAATAACTAGTTAACAGTACTGAATTCTAAGTCATGCAAGGAATGCAGAGTTTCTTGGGCTACAGTCTCCAGCTTCCTAGTGAAGTTACAACTTGGTAGTGGTGGATTTGCCCTCTGATTCAGGGGTGAAATGTCACAGTGCGAAATACTTGAGTGCCAGAAGGCTTGATTCAGATTCATGCTCTTTGTATAGCAGAATACAATAGCGTTGCTGCTTTTATTTTTACCACGTGGAATTCTTCTGGACACTTGAACCTCTCGTTGTCGGTATACAGAGGATTTAATTTTGTCCTACCTTTCGCCTTGTCAGATGCTCTGCAGACCTACAAAAGCTTACAGGATTGTTTCTCATCGAAAATGATGCATCAGTGCCACGATTGCATGGAGGCATTAGGTTCTCTAAGCTTATGCTAAACAGGAACACGAGGCCCGGTCAGAATATACTGAATGCAGAAACCCTGCTGCTTCTCTGGAAACGTGCCAAAGAACATTGGGTACTCTGTTTTTAAACAAACACATGTATCCATACATACTGTGTGTTTTTTATTTCTTCCTTTTTCTCTTCTGCTTTGCTGTATCACTGAAGCTTTACTGTTACAGCCAGTCCAAACCTTCAGGCAGGCATAGTGATGCAGTCAGTCCAGTCTTGTTTTTCTGTTCCCTGTTTGATTCAGTTTATTTCAGGATATTTTGTTTATCTCTGGCAATTCTTGGAGGCTTGTTTCTTGTTCAGTGTCATGAGATCAAATAGTGTCGAAGTCAGGCTAATTGAAGCTTGTATTTCTCTTTGATTAAGGAACAAGCTAAAGCCAAAAAACAAACTCCACCACCATCTCCTACGACACAGCCAGCTGAACAGAAGGCACCCTCAAGCCCGGTCTATGAGGTTTGTTAGAAACGCTTCCAGTAACTAGTTTTTGATCCTAAGTATAGGAATCTTTTTATAAAATCCTGACAAACTTCATCTATATTGTTGCAGGATGCAGCTTCCTGTGAAGCAGAGTCTACCTACAAGAATTCCAGTGCAACGTACTCAGCTGCGCATGAGCCAGAATCTGGCTACAAAGCTGCAGAATCAGACTACCAAGAGGCAGTGAGTCAGCGAGAGCCGGAATATGAGCCAGAGACAGTCTATGAAGTGGCAGGGGCAGGAGACCATTATCAAGCAGGTAGAGTGTTCATTTCTCATGCGAAACCCTTCAGTATAGATAAAGTTTTACTTCCTTGGGAAATGACTTAAAGAATATTTGTGCTGATATCTCACTGACCTAGTTTTCTAAAGTCTGAGTCTAATTAGACTTTTTAGGTCAGCAAATTTTAATTAGAAAACTAAGACATGTTGAGAGCAACAAGGTTGAAATTATTTAACTTACGTGGGATGATGTTGGAATAGTTACGATGCTCTCTCGTGTATTAATTCGTACACAAATTTAGGAATAACCATTTCTACCCTGTGTAATGCAATTCAAGTTCAGAAAAAAACTTAGGAGTGGACTTTAAATGTGTGTTGAGCCAATGCTGCCCTACCAAGTAAAAAGTTAGAACAACAGTTCTTTGGTTTCGAAATTCGACATGTTCAGCGCTTATGAGGGAATGCGGTAAGAAAGTCGGAAATTAATAGTGTCACTGAAAGAATACAGTTGTCTTGAATTTTCTGTTTTTCTCACCTCTTCTGGTTACTAAATGAGGTGTGAAGAATGAAACTGTTTGTTCTGGTACAAAAACCTGGAAATTCTAAACAGTCCCCTTCCCCCCTCACACACATGCACACTTAACAAATTGTAGTAGTCTCCTACACGCTGACCTTGGGCTCAGTTGCTGTTCTGTCACGTTTTACAAAAGTTTTTCTGAAATGAAGCTAATTGTTTTTATTTTCTGTTGTGTTAAATACCTACTTATGAAGGCGTCCTTTCAGGATTTAGTTGTACAGGTGATTTTTAGAAGAGATCTATATCAGAAGGTATGTCAGCACTGCTAAAAATGTGCATAGTTTGTTCCCTGCTTCATTTGTGGGTTAGCCATAGAATTAAATAATGAAGTCTTGCTATAGTATAAGAACTCTGGCTGTATCGGTAGCGTGCCTTACCTTTTAATTTGTTTCTCTTCTAACTCTTCTTAGAAGAAAATGCTTATGATGAGTATGAAAATGAACTTGGAATTACAGCCATAGCCCTTTATGATTATCAGGCTGGTAAGCAAAGCTCTTGTTCTTTTACTTATCTTTTGAAAACTTTTTTTCTGTGAAGGTAACAGGCTGGATTTTCTGTTTCCTTCCGTCTTGTAGCTTCTTGTAGTAATGTATGAAATGAAGATACGAACGTGGTTAGCGATTAGCAGTCGTATTGAGGCACTTTTGAAAACCGCTATCCACTGTTTCTAGAAATTATGGAGGTTTCCAAAATCTCCATTAACCAAGTGTTAACACTGTTGTAAATCCTTAGCGAAAGCAGTCAATTAATATCTTGACTGGTTAACCCTGAGGAGAATTAAAGGAAGTGGTTCTCTATGTGTTAGATAGCAATTGCTGTCCTAAGTTAGCAATGCAGCCAACGTGCAGTAGCTAAGAACTGACTACCTCCTCGCTTCTGACAATGAGGAGGATGCCATTGTTACCGATTGTCATTGCCCAGCACCCTGTTTCAAACAGCCGTGATGCGAGAGGGGAGAGTGATAGCTGTGTGTGTGTTATTTTTAGCAGCGGTAGGTTGATAGATGAGATTGTGGACTGCTGCTGTACGAATTCTGAGCTAACGGCCTCTTCCGCTCTCTCTCCAGCCGGTGATGACGAGATTTCCTTTGATCCAGATGACATCATCACAAACATAGAAATGATTGATGATGGCTGGTGGAGGGGTGTCTGCAAAGGCCGATACGGGTTGTTCCCAGCGAATTATGTGGAGCTGAGACAGTAGAGATGATTATCTACTGGATATGCCTTAATTCCCCAGTCAATAAATCTGACTTAATACACTACAAATCATGATGCTTTTCTGAGGATGGAGGGGTATATACATATTGCTTTTATATTTAATACTTTGCTGATGCTTTTTAAAATGTTTATGCCACAGAAGTTGCTAATATATTGTAATGATTATGTTCTTCACGAAGGCTCTTAAAATGATTTTCATGCATTTTGAAACATTTCTTCTCTGCCAAAATAGCGATTGTCGTAAAAAGCCTTTTCAAGGGCAGTTAGCTGTCTGTCTTAATATTGCATGTTTTACTCATAAGTGAGCAGATTTACCTAGTGTTTAAGTCCAGTTAGTCTTCCACTAAATGTTATCAGCTAAGAAAATCATGGCTATGCAGATTATTTGCATTTCCACCAAGTGGGGGTGGGGAGGACTGGGGAGGGGCATAATTTTTTCTTTTCTTTTCCAGATAGTGCGTGAAAAGGAGAAGAGAATGCTTGGAAGTTGCAGCTAATGGCAGTTAATCAAGTACTGGCCAATATTTAGGGAATAATAATGTTACGAAGGAAACGGTCTGGTTACTTTTTCCTTCTCTTTTAAAGTGAGGTTTCTTGGCTCTTGCATGGATTTTCCTGATCTTGCTCCTCCTCTTCATGTTATCCGGAGGAGGGCTGCAGACACTCAAGCACTGATTGTCCCTAATCTCTTCTCTGTCTGTCTGTCTGTTTTATCCTCCCCTCTCCTCTATCCCAGGGAAGCTTTAAAAAGTTGCTATACAAGCGCTGAGTCACCCAGAGAGATTCCTACTTGTTCAAAGGGAAACTGACATCCAAACCTGTGCGACTACCTACAGAAATAGTCTCATGGCTTTAAAATGGGAAAAAAGGCAGCATGGAATTGCCATTGCATTCTGTGTACAGTACATCTTTTGTTCATACAATGAAACAGGCAGGCCTGCTGTGCAGTAGTAACATTTTATATAACCATATTTAAGTCAAGGAACATTATACAAATAGTTTGATTTAAAACAATTATAGATAATCTTCATTATTAAGCCACACCGAGATACTATACTTTTTTGTACGTTCAGCAGAAACTGCTGGTAACGTTCTACTAAACAATGGAATTAGTTCTGTTCTTTGCCAAAATTAAAACTGAAATTCTTGTCATTCTAAAAAGCTGACTTCACTGCAGATTTAGGGTCCCTACCAAAGATAGTAAGTTGCATCTAATAGTGCACATGTTAAATGTATGTACTGTCTGTTTCCACCTTCTGATCAAAACGGGAATGGCAGAATTGGTATAGTAGCTAAGAAAGAATGCAAAGACTTTTATAGACTGTAAATTTGGACCAATAGAATATAGAAGAACTTGTATAAAATGGTAAAATGTATACTGTGTCTAGGAAGAAGGCATCATGTTGAAACCAATTCTTGGATGGTTGGGACAATCCTTAATGAATGTCATATGTATGTCATGATTATATATATATTTTTTCTTTCCCATGGTCTCATTTCTGTGTTGTATTTGCATTACTAGGGTTGGGTTTTATATGCAGTTTATTTTATCTGATTTTGCATAGACACCTCATAGGGGATATGGTTTTTGTAAATTAAATATCAATAAACTTTTTGAACCATTTGCATGGGATATTTTTGTATTTTTAAATTACTTTGTCAAACTGCCACAGATTGTTCATCTAATTAATCACTTTTGTCTAAAGCTGCATATGGGACTGGCTTGCATACTGCAAATAATATTTCTTGCAGAGGACTGGCTGCATGATGCTTGGTACAGTCATGAAGGGCACTTAAAGTTCTTTAACAGCTACCACCTTCTAGGTTGCCACTGCCTTTCAAATACTTCTCTTCCTCGGAAAGCCACTAGCTTTGTCTTTTGCTCCTATTCCTGTGTGAAAATACTTAGATCAAAATTGGACTTTGGGTAAATTTAAAGGAGAGCACTATTTTTTTAAGCGTGTCATTGTCATGATCTATTTTGTCTTTTGTTTTATGTGCCTATCGCTTCTCCCAAAAATACTTGGTGACCTACGGTTTTGCTGAGAAAGATTGCTGCTGGCTGTTGGGAGTGCTGCTGGCTCCAGGACGCTGAGTGCTCCTGGGAACACAGCCATCACTTACAGTCAGATAAAATCACACAGTGCTTTTAAGCTCTCCTGCTCTTGCTCATGACTGCTGCGTGTGACCTGGTTCCTAGCAAAGCAGTCTGCATAAAAGTTTGCTTTCACAATCTTGCATGAGCCGAATAAAACATTATCGGAAGTACTGCTCTTCTCCGCAGTCTCAGTCACTAGGTGTTGCGTTGCGGAATATTGTTAGGACACAAGAATTTAAAATGAGGCTGGTGGCAGTTGAACTAGGTTATTAGGCTATGCAAAGCATCAGTCGGGTGCTTTAGTTTCTGGAAAGGGGTGGAAGACCCCAAGTGATCTTGAAGCTCAGAAGCTCCCTCTGTGTGCCCTCTGAGGTCAGGTTCAAAGAAACACTCTCAAATTTTCAAGGTGTTTGACCTATTTCCAAAGCTATTACTATCTCACAGTAAGAAACCACCTCTTTTCCCGTCTCTCCTGTTCCTCTTGGGCCCTGCATCATCCAAAACAATTCAGGAGTGCCAATGCGTGCTCCTGCCAAGAAGGATCAGCTGGTGGCAGCGGCCCTGGCCCAGGTGCTGCTCAAGGCCTGGCTGCCAACGAGCCTCACCCGGGAGAGGCGCCGCCCGGGCAGGGGTCAGGTGTGGGAGGAGGGTGTCTGCTGTAGTGGGTAGGTATGAGGAGGGGAGGAAAGCGAGCTAGGCCCTTTGGATGCCCTTTTGGGGGGGCTGCGTCACGCGTGGCGGCGGGGGAGCAGCTGCACTGCCGCCGCGAGGGCGAGTTGAAGGGGAAACGGGAGCATGCGGTGACAGTTGCCGCGAGTTAAGGTTTTAAAATGCGTAGCAGGCTGGGTAAGAGACTGAGGTGGACCCTCAAATTAGGCTTAGCTTGAGGCAGGTAGCCCGCTGGTCTTTTCTGAAGCCTGGTAGTCAATGATTTCCTGAGGGGGTTTCCTCCCGGCAGCCATTTTGTGTGAGCGGGCCGGGCGGCGGGGCGCCCCTTGTGCAGAGCTAACGCTGTGTTTCTGCGTGCGTTTACTACCCGGAGCGTTAGCCGGGCGGCGCAAACGCCGTCTGGGTTCGCCTGCGCCGCGTGCCAGCCTAGTGAGCAGGGCTGCGAAAGAAGCACTGCAATACTTGTGCGTCAGGGTGTAAAATGGCGAGGAGCTGCGTTACTGAAAGGCTATATCAGATAACGCTGTCAGCACCGTTATGGGTATGGTAAGCCTTGGGAGCTTAATCATGCGTTGCCTCAGGTAATGGAGAAAGTTTCTTCTCCAATTTAAACTCCCGATCTTTTCGGTGTAACGGTGCGGCAACATGTTCCACACTGGACTGATTTGGTATCTTGTCAAGTGTATGTAGGTAAGGGGGGGTCATGACTGTACTATTGCTACTGTGAGAGTAAGTGCATTCAAGCCCTGAAGTTTTAAGATCAGTCTTATTCATCAGTAGCAATTGCTAAAGTTACCTGGAACTCAAGCGGTGGGGGGGAACCCACTCTAGAGTAGCTGAATTTATCTATCATCAGAACGGCCGGGTCTGCCCTCCCTGTGGGCAGCTAATGAGAGCAGAAGGCAAAAATCATTAATTTCTGTTACTGGGCCTCTTTCTTACCCATCCACCATCTGATTTAGGGTGAGCCATTTACTTTCCTGGCACCTCGAATCCCTCCCGCTTGCACCTAACGCAGCGCGCGCGGGGTGGGCTCGGGGCAGCTCGCGGGCGGCACTGCCGCGGCAGCAGCACTGGCCTCGTCCATCACCTCATCAACTGGTGATTTTAAGCTTCCCACTGTTATTCTTCTAAGTTGATTGTAACTGAGCACATAATAAGAACTCTCCACAAACATTTTTTCTGTTTATTTCTGTAATATCGCTAATGACAATAACGAGAGAGGAACACAGTTTGAAAAGCAGTTATGTGGGAGGTGGAGAAATATTCTCACAGAAGTGAGATATCCTTGGTTTTCCTGCACGGGTACGCTGGTACAGCAGAAGCTGTGGTTGCCTTCTGCGTTGTGCATCTCCTTTCCCAAACTGAGCGCTGCTTTTGGCACGCTGGTTGGAAACGCCGGCTACCAGCCCCTCGTAACTGTGACAGAGCGGAGAGAAGTTTCATGTCAGACAAAATTATGATCTTTCACTAGGTGCCTCCGTCAGTCTGACTTTGTGCCGGAGAAGCTTCTCGTGCTAATTGCCGCCTTTTTACTCGCTGAATAAATTGTCTGAATTACATCTGCTTTTCATGCCAGTTTGGCAACAATTTCGCTATCACAGAGCAAAAGAGTTTTTGCCTGATGCAAAGTCTCTAGCCAGCGTATCGCTTACAGCTATGAAATTAACCCTGCACATCAAGCAGGTCCTGACTCGGGAGGCTGCGGCAACGTGCAGCGAGCAGGGTTAGCCTCAGAGTTGTTTTAAGAACTTGGCAGAGCTTTACCAATGCATTTCTCAGATGCATTTTATCAAACCTTTCCTTAAGCTGCTGCTTTATTTTTAGTCTGCACAGATGGCAGGCATAAGAGGATAATGAAGAATGCTCTTGCAGCCAATTTATTTTCTGTAAAGCCTTGAAGCTGTGAAATATTTTGCTAGGTTTTTGTGTGCAATGGGCCATTTCCAACTTGTTAATTTGGTTGGATTTTCAATGGTGAGAATCAGCCTAACCAGTTTTTGACTTTTAACCAAGGCAGGAGAGCAGGAAGCAGGGGAAAATACAATCTGAACCACAGAGGAATTTGCTCTGAGGAGGGGTTTTGGCTTAAATAAAGTGCATAAAAGAAGTATGACTATGCATACTAGCAAAATTTTATATTGCACGTGGTCTGTGTGTCATCTTTGGTCTTTCCTGAACCTGGAGGGTTGACCGACCGTAGCAGTAGTTTCCACATATTCCAGTTTCCAAGTCCCTTTTCTAGGGACTTTCAGTGAGTCACTTTGTTGTGATATGAAGTTGAAGAACTGCTACCAGTTTGTGTAGGTAGTATTTACCTTGTTGCAGACTTCATAATGTTACACTGGGGTGCGGAGCCTATGAGATTCAGGCTGCAATAATCTACACATGTTACTGCATGCTTGTGTATATCTAATTAGCAATGGCAGGCTAAAGACCTGGAACATTTTTACTGAATTTGAAGAGGTTGCCTCGGATTCTTGTCACGTTGAGCACAATGCTTCTAGTGTGATTTAGAGACACTGCTATAAAGTTAATTGATGGAAGGGAAATTAATATGTTAGTCTGAGTAAAGGGGAAAAGAACAAAAATCAATCTCAACTGTGTAATGCTAAGTGTACAGAGTAGTAGTGTCTTGGATGTCTTCCAGATAAAGAATTTGAATTGATTAAAATAGCTTCCCTTGCCACGTTAGTCCCCACGTCTGGAAAGTTCTGACAGAAGAGGGGCAATGCATCTTCGACTGCCTGGAAATTGCCTTGCAAGCAACGAGGGAACCTTTAAGAGAGTTGCGTAGTGGTATATTAAAGCTTTCCACAAAATCAGATTTTAATGGCCAATTTCTGAAGGTCATATGGAGTCAGGCAAAATTAATTTAGCGCTTACTGTTATTTAAGTAGCCAAAAAAATCTAGCAGTTTCAGCTGTTTCCATTGCCCAAGACCACAGAAGATGAAAAGTGGGGGGGATCTGCCAGAAGGGAAAAAGAAAGAGACCTAACAGTTACCTCTTGCATTCAAGGTAACCATTCGTGCAGCAGTTATCTGTACTCTTACCTGAAGTGAAAGGGCCAGTGACAGTTAAAAATACCGACCTGTCAGCCTTCAGATGAGGCATGGTGACAAATTTTCCTTCTGAAATACTGACAATGATGTTGCTGTGCAGTTCGAGATGCATTTCCTCTTTTTGTTTTTGCAAACAGGGGAAAGTGCTGACATCTGGTCTTGGGTGTCCCTTTCCTTCTCCCAGCAGTGAGAGCTGATGCTCACTGCTCAGCCCAAAGCCCAGAAGACTGCTGCACCATTTTTGGCTGACCTTAAACTACCAGCAGAATTTCCTTCATAAAAAGAAAGCGAGCCTCAAAGTTGGCCTTACTAGGTCAATGTTTTTAGTGTTACGTACAAACTTCTGGTTTATAGATGTTTTATGCAGGGTGGCAAAAATAAAAGGTGTCAAAGAAACTAAAAATTAAAAGCTAAACAAGATTAACGGATTAGCTAGATGGCATGCTCAACTGAACGAGAAGGACTCATAAGTGAAGAATAAACATTAGGCTGATGAGTTAGGATGATATGGCTCATACCAAGTTGGGAGCTGGGGCATTGCTAAGAATCTTATTTAACGGATTTTCTTCTAAAGCGTTTGAGAGGCCTAAACCTGCAAAAGCTATCGACAAATTACGCTACTTGCTTTCTGGCCCATTTTGGCAACTAGGTCAAAGAGGCTGAATAGTATTATTTTTGCCAACACTGGTTGTAAAAATGTCAAATAAAAAGCTCTATAGTTTATATTAATAGCACTTTTCCTCACTGATTGAGGTCTAGTAAAGCGGTCATTGAATAAATATTAAAACTTTTTAATTGTGTA